ACTATTATTTTTACTTTACTACTACTGCTACAACTATTACTACTACTGCTGCTACTGATAATAATATTAATTGTAATAATGATGTTAATATTATGAGGCCTATTATTATCACTTATCGTTATTGTTATTTTTATTGTTATTGTTATTATTATTGTTGTTATTATTATGATTATTATTATCATTTCTATTAGTAATAGTAGTAGTTATAATTAGTGTTACCTTGATAATTGTTTTATTTATTTATTATTGTTATTATTGTTATTGTTATTGTTATTATTATTATTATTATTATTATTATTATTATTATTATTATTGTTATTATTATTATTATTATTATTATTACCATGGCAGTTATTATTATTGTTATTGTTATTTTTGTTATTATTATTATTAGTATTGTTATTATTATTATTTTATTATTATTGTTATTACTATTATTTTATTATTATTGTTATTATTATTATTTTATTATTATTGTTATTATTATTATTTTATTATTATTATCATCATCATTATTATTATTATCATCATTATTAATATCATCATTATCATAAATATTATTATTATTATTATTATTATTATTAGTAGTAGTAGTAGTAGTAGTAGTATTACTACTACTACTACTACTACTACTACTACTACTACTATTGTTGTTATTGTATTTGTTATTGTTTTTATTGTTATCATGGTTGTTATTTTGTTATTATTATTATGATGACTGACGATGGATTATCAGTTCTGATCAATAGTTCGAGAGCGGGCAGGGAATGGCGACGAAGGCTCCCTCAGCAGCCGGCGAGGTTCCCGATGAAGGCAAGGGAGAGGCAGTCAGTCCCTCCGCCTCCGCTTACGTGTGACGGAAGAACGGGGTGTCTTAAGCCTTAAAGCAGTTTGGTTGTGCGCCGCTGACAGGCTTGCGACACTCCTGAGAGATAGAACTCGCGTCTTGGAGAACTCTTTTTTTAAGATGGCGGTGCGTTCGTGTATTTTCGAGGTCGAAGAACAGGATGGCTGTCGAAGAACACCTGGGGAAGGGTTAGGAGTGAGTGAGTGAGTGAGTATGCGCGCTCAAGGGTGTACACAGACTGGTGGGCCCGTGTGTAGCCTTGACCGTGGCCGCCAGGAGGGAGTGTCAGGCTGCTCCCCCCTCCCACTCCCCCATCCAGTCTCCCTTCCCCTCTCTCTCTCTCCCACACTGTCTCTCCTCCCCTCCCCCTCCCCTTTCTAGTAGTCATCCGCCCCTCTCCCTCCTCTCTTCTAGTCACCCTCTCCCTCCTTCCCTGACAGGTAGTCCTTCTGCTTCTCTTCCCGTCCTTTCTTCTCTCTCCTCTTACCTAATTTCCCTTCTCTTTGTTTTCTCCTCCATCTTCTTTCTCACATTCACCCACTCTCACTCAAAAAAGGAAGAGAAAGAGAAGGGAGAGAAAAAAAATGAAATAGAAGAGGAAAGGAGTTAGAGAGAGGGGGGGAGGAGAGGGGAATGCTAGTCAGGGAGGACGTGGCGGGATTTCGGTGCGTGTGTGGGTGCGTGCGTACGTGCGTGCGTGTGAGGCAGAGGTGGGTGAAGAAGTCGGACGGCGGAGGGGTACGGGTAGGACAGGTATACTGACGGGTGGTGAGAGAGAGAAGGCGCACCGGGCAGGTCCGTGGGTGGGGGTAGGGGGAGTGGGGAGGGGTAAGGGGCCGGGTAGGGGAATAGAGGGAGGGGGAAGGCGTACAGAGTGTTCGACTGTTCGTGTGCGTGTGTGAGTGCGTACCAAGACGGTACCAAATACCCCGGTTGCTGCGTCTCCCGTTTACGCACTGCTGTTTTACGCTCTCTCGAAGGCCCCTCCCGCGCTCGCTCGCTTGCTTGCGGTTCCTCCGGCTTGCTTAACAAGATCCATTTTTTCCTGGTTTAGAAAGGAGTGAAGTCACTGGAAGTCACTAGGATTCACTAGAACTGATGAAGCTAGTAATTTCAAAACTAATTGGGAAACACTACATGGTGAACCCGGTCTGAAACGCAGTCTGTCTCTGTGCTTGCTTGAAAAAGGGTCTTTGGTGTTTTAGAAGGATCATCAGCTGATCCCTGCTAATAAACATAGCTATCCCTTCCCATGCTGGCGACTTATTACCATTCCTCTTGCTATCGTATCTACTCCGTCTGCTTCTCCAACTCCTACTCCTCCAGCTCCTCCTTCCCCTTCTTCTATTACTTCTTAATTCAATTCCTTCTACCAATTCTTCTACTCCCATTGCCTCTATTCCTCCTACTCCAGTTCTCTCTCTACCACCACCACCAACAGCAACAACAACAACAACAACAACAACAACAATAACAATAACAACTACCGCCACGGCCTGGAAGCTGCTGTTAGGACTCCCTCATCTCCCGGCCTCATCTTCGGACGTTTCCTGGTCGTCGTTTGCTCTCCGGGCTGACTGGCCCAGTTTACGCACTTCCTGGTTTCGAACTCTCGGCGGCGGCGGCTGGGGAGCTCGGCCGCCCGGGCACTCGGCCGCGCTTCGTGTGGGCCTGGCGGGAGTGATGCTGTTACTGTTGTTGTCATTTTTATTATTGTTATTATTATTTTACTATTATTATTATTATTATTATGATTATTATTATTATTATTATTATTATTATAGTTGTTTTGTTGTTGTTATTGTTATTGTTGTTATTATTATTATTACTATTATTATTGTTATTATTACTATTATTATTGTTGTTATTATTATTATTATTGTTGTTATTATTATTATTATTATTATTATTATTATTATTATTATTATTATTATATTGTTATTGTTATGATTGAGTATTGTTATTATTATTACTATAGTTAAGATTATTATTATTATCATTATTGTTGTTGTTACTATTGTTATTGTTGTTATTATTATCATTATTATTATTTTAATCATAATCGTTGTCGTCGTCGTCGACTTTATTGTAATTATTTTGTCATTATTATATCATCATCGTCATCATTATAGATTATGATTGTTGTATTATCATTATTATTTTTAGTTATTGCTTTTATTGTCATTATTACTGTCATCATCATTATCATTATTTCTCATCATTATGCTTATATTATTGCTATTCATATTGACCTCATTAAAGTTTAAACTTCCTCAGTCGAATAAAGCTAATTTGAATTACTCATATCACACAATATCACACATTTGCACTTCAATAGCATTATCTCTTCGTTCTTATGTGAGTCTTGATTGTCAGGGGGGGGGGGTCTGACCAAGGTGGCAGCACACCGACTTGGAATTCTCAATTGCAAGGCGCGGTGCGGAGCAGGTGTGCAATGCGCCCTGCAACTCTCGGGCGCTCAGGCATTGATTAACCCCGATGAATCCTTAATGAGGCTCGAGGTGGCACCTGTACGTGCCATAGGTCGCCAGGTGTCATGAGGGTGTCATGTGTATAATTGTTTTTTTTGGATGGATGGGTGTGGGTGTGGGTGGAGGGAGGGGGGGATAGCTTACCTGTTGATGTCAATGTGTGACGTCATTTGTATTGCTGTTTGCTTTGTTTTTGCTCTTTTTATTTTAATTTTCCTTGTGTTGCTTCGGTACGATTTCCAGATTGCCTTAAGAACGGAACATAGGCACACAGACACACACTCACGTAGATATGTGCTCATCATAGGCCTGTCTATATTTACATATTTGTTAATCGTTTGTTTAGTTCTTTATTTACTATCTGTAAGAAGTATATATAACGTGACTGCTATTGAATTTTGGAAAATATTATCATACGTAGTTATTTTCTTTCATTATTGATGGAGAATGTAGTTCGATGACTATAGATTTCCTGTTATTACCGCCCTCCCACAACAAACACAAGCAAGAAAGTAATCGTTTTCCAAGATCGTTTTCTCAGAGCGAAGCCTACTTGTCCCGACTGGTTTTCAATTGATACAAATATTCTGAGCTGAGTCAGACCGCAGGTGGTTTTAGCTGCACACACGCACGCACGCACACACACACACACACACACACACACACACACACACACACACACACACACACACACACACACACACACACACACACACACACACACACACACACACGCTTGTGTGTGTGTGTGTATACTTGTATACATACATACATGCATATACATTCATACATACGTACATACATACATACATACATACATACATACATATATACATACGTACATGCATACATATCCACGGACAGGTCTATACTGACAATTTTCAACTTCTTAATTTTCGAAAAATATGCATCGTATCATATAAGGAAAACGAACAAATTTGCATGACCAAGATGATGGATTTTTTTTATATTCTTTGTGATCAGATATTTACAATTTACAAAGGCGGAACCAAGTCATTAAGTCTATCGTTTATTTCAATAGTTTGATAGAATTCCAGAGCATTTATTCATAGGCAACAGCCAATAGCAAAACAGCAATGATAAGACGAACATTGATAAACAAGAACAGATACTGGGTGCATAGGACTATATTATTCCCTGTTTGATTATATGTATGATCAGAGGTATCACTTGATTAATTACACATTACCCGAATCGCATTTTATTTTCCCCAAGTAACCAGTATTAGGTGTGATTTATTGCGGATTACGTTGCATTCTCTCTTTTGTTTTTTTATTTTCTTTTTCTTTCTTTTTCTAGGTAAAGAAATGAAAAATCGTTTTCTGATAAACGATTTTTTTTATGTGAAATGTGATGGATGATTTAATAAAGCAAATGCATCAAAGTTTCATTTTTTGTACCTGACGGATTTCCGAAAATCCTCTTGAAACAAGTAATAAACAGCTATGTACCTGCATTATTTTTCTCCTGTCTGAAATTATTTTTATTTCGATAAAGCTAGATACGCTATCGCATTATCGCTTGGTATTTGAAAGACTAAGCATCTCATGTATTTTTTTTTCTGATGATACAGTATCTTATCTAAGGAACGATAAAGCTGTAAACTAGTACATGTTTTATACGAAGTGGTTTTAGTGTCCTTTCAGTCGGTGCCCGAGAGAGGCGCGCATAAAATCCGAGACATTATTAACGTTATATATATATTTTTTTAATTTATTTATCTACATTCTTGATTTTACTTAATTTCTTCCCGTTTTTGTTGATCGCCTTGCTCAACCGGACGCCAGCCTATAGTTGAAAAGATTTATCCGGTTAGAGTGATGTGGTCTGTTTAACCGGAATTGTGCGCGGAAATTTTCGGTCGAATCTTCACACGTTT